CTTCTTGAAATAGGCCCCAGATGTCCTATACTGTATGTATGTGCATGTGTTTATTGTTTGTTTTTGTGTGTGTATGTGTGTTTGTCTAGTGTACCACATGCGGGAAGACGGCTGGATAAAAGTGTGTATGGAAGATGTTTCAGAGTTGCTACATCGCTACAAGAAGGAAATGTTCTGAGTTTGCCCCCTAAACCCAGATCAACCTCAGCACTCTGAATATATTTTAATGACATATAGATCTAAGGGCCAAGTTGTCATCATTAAACTTTTTACATTATGTCATGTAGGTACATGTTGATACTGTAGCTCTCTGAGCTTCCATGGTTTAATGTATTTGTGGTTTATACAACACATGTCTCCAAATAAAGGCTATTGTTCAACTCCCTCCTCTGTCCTGAAAAAATTAACCGGAACTGATTGTCAGGTATAAAATTCACTAGTGTGAGGTAATATGTTGATAAGAAGGACAAAAATTGTATGTATTTTTTTGAAACAAGTATTTTCTGTACTTAGAAAAAATAGATATGTGGATAATAATAATAAATACTTTAGTCCTTCATGTCTTGTCCTTGTCTACTGTCAGCCACATAGTAATGCAATATAATTGTGTCATAACATATTCAATGTGAGGCATGCTGTGTTGTAGTTTTTAAATAACATTTTATTTCTAGATTGAGCTGTGGAAGGAAGATTTCTAGATGAATCACCTGATCACAGAAGACGTGGGTGTTATTTTTGCTGGTCTGGCGGCCTCTGACCACAAACATACATAAGTGCCAAACTTCCTTTCCAAATCTTACAACTGGAAAACAACAACAACAAAAGAATGCTCTAAACCTGTTTGGTGAGATAGCTAAAGCTACCATGATCTCATATTACTGATAACTGAGTTTAGATTCTTATTAATACTGTATGCCCATATTAATGCTAAAGAAACTGGGTTACATCATTTTACTTTTGTTACTTTGTTGTTGTTGCTTTTTGTGTTTGTATGTATTGTTGAATCTATATAGGTCAAATGTCCTATAGGTGATGCAACACAAAAACATTTGTGTTGCATCACCTAAAATATATCATTTTTTAAAAGTTATATCAACTGTTGGTATTTTGTGAGCTTCACAAGTTAAGAAGACATCACAGCAGCAGCTGTGATGTCATGTGTTTCTATGCAGATCTCAAGCCCAGAGGTTTTGTCCATGCAGTACATTAGTCTTGACTGTGAAAATGGTTAATCAACTTAATATTTACAAGTCTGTAAATCTCACTTAACTTGTGAATCTCACAGTTGATATAACTTTAAAAAATTGCATATATTTTCGGTCTCATAACCTACAGGTATATTAGCAACTATGTAATATATAGTAGGTTAATCAATCTCCTTGTGGTATATCATACTATAGGTGTAACCTGTAGCAAATTACATCTATTTAGAAAAATTGTTGATTTTGAGGAACCACCGAAGTGCAGAATTTCTTGACCGGTGTAATGTCATCAGTTTCCAGGCAGATTTCAGTGCAACAGGTTTGTCAGGGTAAAAACAAAGCACCACACTAAGCCTGACTGTGTGCAGTGTGTTGGTGTCAGTTTGTCAAAACATCATAATAATCCATGAATGCTTGTATGTATTCATCACATTAGGGGAAATTAAGTAAAAAATAAAACCTAATAAACATATTTAATGTCAGTGAACAGCCTCACTGCTCATTGTAATCTAAAAATACCTTTTAAAAAGCTGAGTAGCTAAACAAATATATTTTTGTATACTATATTACAAATGTCCTGTCTGATGATAGGGACATTTTTAGCCAGTGTGAAATGAAATATAAACTCATACCTTCTACCAAGACATTAGGGAACAAATAGGTAAAAATTTTACCTGAGAAAATTTGCCAGGCAGATTTCAGTGCAACAGGTTTTTTTCAGGGTAAAAACAAAACACCACACTGAGCCTGTGTGCAGTGTGAACAAGAGCTGAGCGGATCTGCTTAAGTCTTCTACGTATTGATTAAATAAAAAATATACAAACAGAAAGAAGTTGGATTAAAACATTGTCCCTCTATTTTTAATTAACAATCCCCACAGTATAAGCCTGCTGATAAATAAGCAGGAAAATGTATGAACTTGTGGTTCCACAAAAAGGTCTCAAACAACAGTTTCACTGTCTTGTCATGTGAAGTCAATTTTCCCATTCACCTCCCTGTTAAAAGTCACAGCTTTGCACAAATAATTGTTCTTCCTGTGCTTCAGTTTAATCTATAGATCAGAGCAATGTTCATTCACTCTATGTGAAAATAGTGAACTCTGTTATTACTAATCGTAGCTAGTCACAGATGTGTAAACACTGGATGTAATATCACAAACAGACACAGAAAAGTGGACTATTGGGAACTTTATTGAAGCCAAACAGTACAAAAGGAATGAAGCAGCAGTGCAACTTCATTTACCATGTTTCTGCTTAACTCAACACAAGTGATTTTGAGCTGAGCTGTTCAATTTCTAAATGTTTACACAACTAAGATAGAAAATGTCCCTTGTCCCTGTATATTAACAGGAAATATTATCAACATTTCTTTCAGTGTCATGAGAAACTTAAAACATCCTAACACCATTTTTATCTTTAGCTCAGCTAAAGATAAAATATAGGTCAAGACAAAATCTTGTTTTGATTCCAAGATCCTCAACTTTGATCAAGTAAAAAACAAACAAACAAACTAACAAGCAGAATATTTACATGTGCTCATAGGGGTGACCAAGGAAACAATATTCTTCCTACATGTCATAAATTAGGAAACTCATTTGAAAATTAACTTCTACGCTGCTGAGAGTAGCAGGGCACTAGTGTCAATCCATGCACAGTGGGTGAGACGGAGGGTAAATCTGTCAACATCACACAGCCCAACATGCAGCACACTGTGAATATTACTGATTGGTTTGCAGTACTGTCCCCAGTGATGTCACACAACCAGAGAAACAGAAAATGGATTTATCTTTAGAAACAGTTCACAAAACTGGCTGACAAACATTTGGTATCTCAGGGTTTATATCCTCATGTGTCACCAGGTGTGTGGGCTTTATATGAATATTTCTTTATATTATTAATGTTGATTTTACAAGAAAACCCCAACACCAGAATTATTAAACTGTAACTATGGCACATTTGTTTTAATTGAACACAAATATTTAAGTTAGCTGTTTATTTATGATGAACTCTGTGATGCTTTAGTATCATGTTTTACTTTTCTCTGGATGAGACTAATAATTTTCCTCGTTTGAGTTATGTTTAAACAAAATATTAGAGGAAATTCCACTGTCAAATGTATTAGTGTCATCATTTATTTTTTATATTTGTTAAATATGTAATACTTTTTTCTAGTTCCTATCAACAGGCACCACTAGATTCCCAGCCCGGATTCTATCAATTCATGATATGAATGATTAATAATCAATTAATTCCCAGATTATGCAGGTGAATTTGGTGGCACTCTCCTTGTTCCAGTGCAAAATTTATTCATAAACCTAAAGATACAAAAAGAGAAAAAAGTTACACAAAACACAAAACAAAATAATTTGCCAAAAATATTTGGAGTTCAGCTCCACAAAGTCACATATTTACATAAATCAAAAATATCCATGATTCACTGAAGTGTTAACAATGTGAAAAGCAAGTATTTACCTACTTTGCTTCTGAAGTAAAATATTTTAATTTGATTTAACACCATCTGAATATATTGGTGCTTTTCTAAATGTTAATAGTTGAGTTTTTAATAATAATTTATGTGACCTGCAGATGTGATGGTCTCTGAAAACATCTGTCTTAATCATTTTACTTAATATAAAACACTTTTATTGCAGAAAACTAATTATGACAACTATTTTCTCTGCAGGAGAAACAATCACAGCAAGTTCTTTTGCTCATAGTTTAAAGAATCTTTGTTGAACATCTGAAGCAACTCACTGTGTGCAGGGCGGTGCTTTTGTCATTTAGGTCTTTGGATTCAGTTCCTCCAAGACATCACAGCTGTTTACAGCTGTAAGGTCAGAAACACGGTGTTAGCTCACATCCTGCTCTAACCTGACACTGGGTTTCACAAACAGCTACCACAGAGGGCACAGGATGTCAGAAAAATCGAACAGAAACAGGTTTTACTTACGAGATGGAGTGGATTTTGGCTGGAAAAAAAACAAACAAACAAATAATTTCAGTTGTTACAAACTTGTATGCCAGAATTTATCACCTGCTTTCCAGTGATGATCCCGTCCTCTACTCTCTCAAACTGGTAAATACATTCCATCGACCATTTGTTTAGATCTTAAATCATTTCTTTTCCTATCAGCTCTTACATTAATCATGCTACTGCTGCGTTATCATGAAACTCTGGCTTTCAGCACTTACAACTTGTGGAATAAGATTTTGATGAGCTTGAATTTAAGTTTGTTTTTACTTGTGCAATCTGGACAAAGCACCAACTTGAGTCTAACTGGGAATCCACACTGAAAGTGGGACATGAGCAGCGCGTTCTCTCTTTGTCATCAGAGCAGCTGTTTGTCTGTCAGCAGGACAGCGGAAGGAGAAAGAGTCTTCAACAGGCAGAAAGATAGCACAAATGTACTGGACAAAATGTGGAAGAGGTAGGCGGCACAATTAATCATTTTGTGAACATGATCTTGTTTGTATGTAGCCTATGGATTTATTGATTTGAAGGAGAAAGAGTCTTCAACAGGCAGAAAGATAGCACAAATGTACTGGACAAAAAAGGTTTCATGTATGCTCATCAAGAACAAATCTTGTTTGTATGTAGCCTATGGATTTATTGATTTTAGTGATTTTCATGGTTCTACAGAGGGTGAAAGTGAAACTCAAAGCAGCCTGATCAGTCATAACAGATACCAGTAGAAACAGAAAATATCAAGGTTTGTGTGATTTCAAACAGCTGCCTTTCAAACAGATCATGGTTCATTAAATGTGGAAGAGGTAGGGCTGCACAATTAATCATTTTGTGAACATGATTTAGATCCCTGTGCAATCTCAGTCTCATGCATACAAAACACTTCTGGTGTGGATTAGGGGTAATAATAAAATACTGAAGAATAACTGAGACAGTGTTTCTGTTTTGGTCTCTCACCAGTCATTTTTCTGTAAATGAAGAATCCAATCACAGCGATGAGAAGAACAAGAACAACCACTGCAGTGATGGTGATGATCATGGTATTTGACTTTTCTGTTGAGTAAACAACAAGACATTGTCACAATCTGTGCAAATGAAGCAGGTTAGAAAACAAGAACATCCAAGTACTAACCAGAGCTCAGTACTGTACAGTGACAGTTCAGCCAGTTTGTTTGTCCTGTTGTTATTGCTCATTTCAATTTTTGTATGTACTACTGTATCTGTGCTTTTTTTTCCTGGTCTAGTGCTGGTTTTTCTCCCACACTCACCGTGTGTAAGAACAATGGCATTGACCGGAAACTCTAAACTGAGGTTATACACTAAAAAGTTTACACGTGGCTTGAAAAAAACTCTCAAAATGGCTTTTAATAACTGCAGTAAGGTTGTCAAGAATTAAATTTAATAAATATTTACATGCTAAAAATAATTTAAAAAGGTTGTGATAAAATCAAATTTTGTATGTTTCATTGTTGACTTTAAATTAAGAAAAACAACCAATCCAGGTCCAATGATGATCCTAAGGTGCAGCAGATGAACTGGTTACATGATCTAGAACTTTAGATATACAAGACCAGATGAAAGAAAATGGCAACACAAGTAGATAGATCTCCCCCTACACACACAAGCCACAGGACCAACACAGTAAAGTAAATGTGTTTTGTACTGTTGATTCAGGTGTTACCATTGGTCCTGATCACTGCTTTGTCGAATCTGATGGCCATGTCCTTCACTCCAGAGAGCTGAAACACA